CTACTGTTAAGTTTGAAGGACATGGAAGGAGGACCAGATACATGGGAAGGTCTCTACTGCTAGGTTTGAAGGACATAGGAGGAGGACCCCAGATACATGGGAAGGTCTCTACTGCTAGGTTTGAAGGACATAGGAGGAGGACCAGATACCTGGGAAGGTCTCTACTGTTAAGTTTGAAGGACATGGAAGGAGGACCAGATACATGGGAAGGTCTCTACTGCTAGGTTTGAAGGACATAGGAGGAGGACCTCAGATACTTGGGAAGGTCTCTACTGCTAGGTTTGAAGGACATGGAAGGAGGACCTCAGATACTTGGGCTGATGAGCTGCCCTGCTGCCCTGTTTACCCGTTTTTCAGAATTGTGTCCAGAGTGAAAAATGGGGTCAGTGAACCTTGAAATTCAGGGGTCCAGAGATGGCGTGTTCCTTGTACAACGGAGGAACGGACCAAGGTGTCCATGAACAAGAACTTTGGTTGACCTCATGGAGATGGGTGGACTTCAACTCTGCTGTCTAATGTTTTCAACTCTACTGTCTACTGAGGTCCTCCAGGGGCCTGTTTGCCCCCGTTTCTCTTTTTTGAGCCCCGTTCTGAAGACTGGGGAATTGTGGGAGTTGAAGTCCACCCATCTCCAAGGGCCTGAGCTTGTGGAACTCTACCAGAAAAGGAAGATCTGAGATACCTTGGAAGCTAGGTTGTCCACCAAGGCCACGATGGAGTTCTTGAACAGGGTGGCCGCAGTCAGGGGGCGCTTCGTCACCTCCGTGATGCTCTGCTTGCCTTCCGGCCACATCTCCTGCAGGAGGGGGTCTGCGCTGGGAAAAGATGCCAAAAGAGGTTAAAAAAAAAAGTCAATATGGCGGCTGGGATGTTGCTGCAAAGTTGGGATTTTTGCACAGACAAATCCACCTCTTGACACGAGGCGGTAAGAAGCATCAACGCTGAAACTTTTGGAATCGCCCTTTAATGAAGTTTGCCTCCTTTCCCGGTCAAGAGTTTAGAGGCTGATTTAGCATGATGAGAGTTATAGTCCGATGTTTTTGGAGGCCTGCCCACTACGCCAAGTAATTTCCTTAACTGACTTGCTACCAAGACCAGGGAAGGCAGCAATAACAACAACAACAACAACAACAACAACAACAACAACATCAAGCATGGAGAAGTAAAAACTATTGTCAGGCGAGAGTACACCAACAGAGTTAGGAANAGAGGCAGAAGGAAGTGGTGTATGGAGAGCAGAAGAGCCAATAATTGGTTTTTATTTTTTTATTTCTGGGGGGAGTTGTTGGAAAGACGAACTGACGTAATTAATAATCAATACAATATGATATTGGCTATGTAACAGTATACATGTGATTATATGTTATGAAAATGGAAAATAAAAAACTTTTGCTTTAAAAAAAAAGGGGGGATTACATGATCCTGGGACACAGTGACTGTCATAAATATGAGTCGCTTGACAAGCGTCTGAATTTTGATCATATCACCCCAGGATTAGTGAAATGGTCGTAAGTGTGAAAAAGCCACTTTTTCAGTGCGGTTGTAACTTTGAACGGTCACGAAACAAACTGTTGTAAGTCAAGGACTTACCCGAACCACACAACCCTGCTACTGATTTCACAATCCCGGCGATTCACTTAACAACGGTGGCAAGGAAGGTTGTAAAACGGGGCAAAACGTATATTTAATGACTGCCTCATTTGGCAATGGAAATTTTTGGGCTCAGTTTTAGTCCTAAGCTGAGGACTACCTGTAAAAACTTGCCAACAGCCAAAAGGAGTGTCTTTGTGTCTGCATTTATTAGAGAGGATTTCGGCTGCCGGCTGTCTCCGATATACAGACTTTCCCAAGATTTTCGAGCCTTAAACGCTGTGGCTTTGGATTTCTATTTATGGAGGTGTTGCATAATAAACCTTTAAAACTAACCGTAATCTCCATCTTAGTGTGGCTTATTTATAGCGCATCAGTGATGCACAAGCTTCCAACTAGCAAACCTTTCATTTTAGCTCCCACCGAAGCTGGAAATAGACCCAGTAACACAATGAGCAACCGTCCCACTCCTTCTCCATCCACAGCCCCTCCTTCCCCAACCGGAAGGGAACTCCGAATGCTGGCTTGCCTCTGTCTCATTCTTGTCTCATGCCCTGTTCATAGTACTGGGGGGAATCCTAGGAATTGAAGTCCACCTGTCTTCAGGTTGTTCAGTTTGAGGGACACGGAAGGAGGATCTCAGATACTTGCAAGGTCCTCCAGCAGCTTGTTAGTCCTCTTTCAGAGCCTTGTTCACGAGACTGGGGAATTCTGGGAGTTGAAGTCCACCATCTTAAAGCTGCCATGGTTGAAGGACATAGGAGGAGGATCTGAGATGCTTGGGAAGGTCTCTACTGCTAGGTTTGAAGGACATGGAAGGAGGACCAGATACCTGGGAAGATCTCTACTGGTAGGTTTGAAGGACATAGGAGGAGGACCAGATGCTTGGGAAGGTCTCTACTGCTAGGTTTGAAGGACATAGGAGGAGGACCTCAGATACTTGGGAAGGTATCTACTGCTAAGTTTGAAGGACATAGGAGGAGGACCTCAGATACATGGGAAGGTCTCTATTGTTAGGTTTGAAGGACATGGAAGGAGGACCAGATGCCTGGGAAGGTCTCTACTGCTAGGTTTGAAGGACATAGGAGGAGGACCTCAGATACTTGGGAAGGTCTCTACTGCTAGGTTCGAAGGACATAGGAGGAGGNTACAGGAGGTAATTGCACTCAGCTGGTGGTCATTAGGCTCCTCTCCAGACTGTAAAAAGACTGCTTGTGCACACACCCCTTTTGCAGAAGTCAACACAGGATCTAATGTCAGAGAACATTATTGTGAGCTTGGTAGGCTGGAGTGCTGCCACGGCTTATCTGTGCCAGTTTGCTGCCAAGGACCTGTCTGTCTGTTAATTAAATGCTGTAACTTATCTTTGGCTCGGAATGTGTGTTGGTGTGGGACAAGGGGGGTCAGAACAGGTCACTAAGCAGACTGTCATAAGTCGAGGACTGCCTGCGGGTCACTTTTTTCACTGCCGTTGTAACTTTGAACGGTCGCTACAGGAGGTACCGTAAATCAAAAGCCACCTGAATTCCCAACCGCGAATGTGTTCTGCGGAGTTCCTCACTTGGGTTCCGTGTGGTTTTGGGTCGCGGCATCCATCGGGGCGAGAAAGCCAGGCACACGGCTTCATCCTAGTGATCCACAACCCTTAACCACAACCCCTTGTTACCTTCTGCAACAACAACACAATAATGGGGATGAGGTTGGAGCGCTCCTCTTCCAGGGCGAACAAGGTCCGGGGCGTTCGGATGAAGATCTTGGTTTGCCCGTAAGCCACGTCGTCTTGGAAGCCGTGTTGCTCTATCAGGGCTCGGGTGGCTGCGGCGTCCGTGGCCATGAGGTGGTTGGGCCAGGTGTATTCACACGTCATCTTGTACCTGGATGAAGAAGAAGGTTGGAGAGTTGACTGTAGAGGGTCTCCAAGAAGACCCATCAGAGGGTTTGCAGCTCAACGTCGACAATGCCGTTCCCGTCCCAAACCACGAAACCCCGGTTGTTTGTCCTAGGGACAAGCGCTTCCTCCGTTTGATGTTTCTCGCCATCGGGAAACGAAAGCCGGCGGATTTCGACCCCGCGAGGAAAACGCTAGCAGATCGAGGAGAAAGAAGATAGCTCAGCTCCGTTCTCGCTCTGCTGGGAACCAGGATTCTCCCCGTTGGGTATATGTATCAGTGTTTTTTTGTAGGGTTCTTGCTGGTGCGTGTTTGTGTATGTGTGTGTGTGTGTTTGTGTGTGTGTGTGAGCTTGGGATTTTTTTCCCTGAAGATCTTTCATGACCCAACAAGGTGACATCAACAGTGCTTAGGGGGGATTTGTGGAGAGGAGGAGGAGGAGGAATATGGAGTCCTTCGTGCTTTGCGACCTCAGTGGCTTTCTTGCAGACATTTCATGACCCAACTAGGTAATGTCATCAGTGAGAGGAGGAGGAGGAGGAGGAGGACTATGACTATGAGGAGGAGCCGAGGTGGCGCAGTGGTTAGGGTGCAGCACTGCAGGCCACTTCAGCTGACTGTTATCTGCAGTTCAGCGGTTCTAATCTCACCGGCTCAAGGTTGACTCAGCCTTCCATCCTTCCGAGGTGGGTGAAATGAGGAGCCGGATTGTTATTGGGGGCGATATATGCTGAGTCT